AATAAAAATGATTTTAGAGTATTTTACGATGAGAGGAGGTCAAACATTACTTGATGTGACTGACCTATCATCGAGTTTCACTACTTTTTCGTATAGAAACAACAACAACAAATAATATATTCGTGTCTGTTTTTTCGAGGTAGGACTAAATTAAGTTACAGGATTGGTATCAGGGTTTTGTTCTAGGATCGAAGAATTCACTGGAAGGAAGGACTACTCCTCACGAGGACGAGTTCTAGGGAGATAAGAGAGAGAGAGAGAGAGATAGAGAGAGACAGAGAAAGAGAGAGAGAGAGAGGAAGGTGCGAAAGGGTACGGCGCTCGTCGAATCGATCGCGGAAAACGCGTGCCGCCGCGGCGACTCTGCTGCTCACGGCCCGAAACTTCCTCGGTACGATAACCCGGAGTGCTCCTGTGCTGCTGGAGATCAATAAACGCCGATCATCAAGGAAAACTACATTTATTTATTTTATATCGATTTTTTTTTTTAAGAAAAATTAATATCAAAAGTCTTGAAGAAGAAACAACAACGAAACATCACGAAGAAAGGAAAAAGGTTGCAAGGAGAATGAGATTAAAAAGAGAGAGAGAGAGAGAGAGAGAAAGAGATCCTTGAAAATACCCTCTTACTCTCTTTCACTCTCTTATAAGAGAACACAAATATTCCTATTATTTATTATTTCTCATAGAAAATAATAATACTGACCGAATCAAATTAGTCCCAAGTTTTTCGTTGTCCTAGAAATGTGAAGCAAAAGGTACCCCCTTTTTCTTTTGGACTATGGTCCTTCTTCCACCCCCACCGTTCTCTCTTCTTCAGAATCGGAGTCAGCACCAACACCACTCGCAGCCACTTCGGTAACCGATAGCGAAGCGGCACCCGGCACTAAGGGCGCGAGAAAAATATATACAAAACTGATAACGAAAAAATAAAAAGGAATAAACAATAAATAAAAAAATAAAAAAAAATAAAAAAGAAAAATAAAACAAAAGAGAAATTAAAATATAAAATAAAAAAAAAAAGAAATTAGATAGGACGAGGATAAATAAACGCCGAGAACGTATTGGGGGGGGTCCGCGCCGTTTACAATGTTTGATAATTAAAAACCGATTATGCTCGCACTATTAATCGTGTGAACGAATAAGGAAAAAAAATAGAAGAAGAAGAAGAAGAGAGAGAGAGATAAAGAGAGAGAGAGAGAGAGAGAGACAACGTTGTTCCTTGGTTCGTTCCTCTGGTAGGATTAAAGTTGGTTGGTTGGTTCGTTTGGTTCTTTCCGTCGTCCAGGTAGGACGAAGGTAAACGACTACGGGGAACAGACAACGAAGCAAACTAACGATGACGACGACGACGACGATGACGACGACGACGACGACGACGACGACGACGACGACGACGGCGACGACGACGCCGCGCGCGATCTAGTGCTAGAGCTAGGGGCGCCTCTGTGATGAGAGAGCGTCGCGGCGCCGCCGTTGGCGCCGTTTGGCGCCGGCGCCAAAGCCAAAGCCAACCTTCCTTCCTTCCACCAACCTTCCACCAACCTTCCACCGAACGCTAGAAAGAAGAACCACGCTTGACAGTCGAGTACACGGGACGAAAGGCTTGCCCCTGTAGGGCCCCCTGGCCCAACCCCTTTATATTCCTTCTTATTCCAACGATAATATTTATTTATTTATTCTTTTTCTTTTTTTACAGCAATTATTTTTTATTTTTTTTTTGCTTGAGAGAGAGAGAGTGAGAGAGAGAAAGAGGGAAGCAATTTTCGTCAAAGAGGACCAATCTTTTTTCTTGTTCTTTTCTCCCTTTTTCTTCATCGTTCCTCAGTAGTCTAACGCTCGCTTAGATTCTCTTAACGCATGCGCACTACTCCATATCTCTATCTTTCCTTTTCTCATCGACGATCCCCGTTTTCGTATTCCTTCCACCTTCCGACTACAACTCTTTCTCTCTCTCTTTCACCCATTCCTTCCTTCCTTCCTTCCTTCCTTCCTTTTTCCCTTCTTCGAGCACGAAACGAGTACGTCGATGTGTGTCCGAACGCAAAGGACTACTAGGTCTTTCGCGCCCACCGTACGATCACGAACCTTTCTTCCTTCCTTCCTGGTACGTTCCTTTTTATCCAACTACCAACTACCAAGGGATAGATAAGCTAGAAAAAGTATAGAGAATCTAAAGTACTTTTCTTTTTTCTTATTCCCTACCAATCTTAGTAGTAGTAGTAGTACCATTCTATGAATTCTACCAACCAACCAACCAACCAACCAAAACGAACTCAACCGAAACCCTTTTGTGGATCTCTCAAGAGATCGATGACCCTCGTTCGTTACCCCTTCGGAAAATGTTTCCCTACGTAAACGTCGAGTCCTCGAGTCCTCGACGTTTCGTTTTTGTCAAGTCAGAATACTTTTCCCTCTAACCCCATGGACCCTCTCATTCTATCCTTTTTCAACTCTATCTCTATATCTTTCTCTATCGTTTATACTGTCCTACGTGGCAGTGTGGGTGACGCTTAAAGGCGAAATTGGCCGTAATTACTGTTATCGGCGAGAAGACGTATGCGTCGTTATACCTTCCTCTCCTAGGCCACGTCGACACGCGTTGCGCACGCGCCCAACGACGTATCCTTTTTCCTCCTTCCACTCAACCCCCTCCCCCTCCCCCTCCCCCTCCTCATCCCACCTCTTCTCCCCCTACTCAACCTACCTACCTACCTATCTACCTACCTACGTACCTACCTACCAACCTTCCTCCTTCTATCCTTCTCTTTCTCTTGCTTGCACCATCGCGATCTATTACGTGTACCTAACTCCTCCACCTCCACCTCTTCCTCCCCCTCCTAACCCTTCCATTCCTCCTATACTCTCCCCCTTTTCGTCCTATCTTTCTCTCTTCATCTTTCCACTCCTATCCTCCTCCTCTTCTTCTTCTTCTTCTTCTTCTTCTTCTATTTCTCTCTATCCTATGGTACGTCGATGCACGTTTTTCTCGTGAAGAAGAAAAGAGAAAGAGATAGAGGGAGAACAATATAAAGAGTACGAAAGAGAAAGAAAGAAACAGAGAGAGAGAGAGAGAGAGAGAGTTCGCGTTTGTCCGGGTTAAAGGTCAACCGAGAACACCTTTCACGCCCTCTTCTCCCTCGTACCTTCCTTCGTCCTTTCTTTTTTACGCACACCTGAAAAATAGAACGAAAGACAGAGACAAACGGACATGACACGACAGGACAGGATAGGACAGGATAGGACAAACAGACAAACAGACAAACAGAAAGAAATAGAGAGAAAGATAGATAAGGACAAGAACAAAAATAAAAGGGTATTGAAAGAGGCAAGATCTTGTTTCCTGTTTAACCGATTTAAGCACATACCAAGGGACACTAAAGTTTCTTCAAGATGATCTTGGATAAAATGACGTGTTCAAGTGGGGTTGGGTAAAGGGGGTATGAGGTAAAAGATAGAAAGCGGCCGAAATTACGGTCTCGATCCTTCCTGTTGGCGTCTCGAGGACGTGCCGCGGCACGTGACCAGCTAGGATCTCGCGCGGATATACCGAAAAGCTCCTGACTGGTCGACTACGCGGAGGCGCTTATCGATTTTCAAAGCGGCATTGCCCCAAACGCTGCTTTCCAGGCCTCGCTGCTGCTACCTCCCTGTGTATATATATATGTGTGTCTGTGTGTGTATATATATATGTGTGTGTGTGTGGGAGAAGGGGAGTTAGGAGGGAGGTTTGTAGAAATGGGTGTTTGTAGATGCAGGGTGCAAGAGAGGGAAAGAGAGAAGGATAGGAAAGAGAGTGAGAGAGAGAGAGAGAGAGACCGAAACTGGAACTTCGACCGTCTCTCGGACCATCGCCGTGGAACTCGATGCTATGCATGCGAATGTCTATGCACGCGCCTGCAACTGATTGCTAGGTCGTTCGTTTCGTCATTCCTACGCCAGGAATATTGAATACGCGACGAAACTCGCGTTTCTCTCTCTACAACGTTTCTCTACGATTTTCCAGGATATCCGGTTAAGGGGATGTACCTCCATCCATCTATCCATCTATCTATCCATCTATCTTTATTCCTATACTATATCTCGTTCGCACTTAACTCTATGCATCCACTTCTTTTAGAAAAAGTCATTTTATTTTGATTGTACAACACTTTCTTACGATCTACCATTTTTTCTTATCATAATTTCAACTAATATTATAGTGGATTATCACGAATGCATATTTCCCCGTTACTCAAGGCCAGTTATATTGTATTAACCTAACCTGATTTACGATAGACGTTAAAAGAATAAAACAAGTTACTATGTCGATTTGAAGTTTCGTTAATTGATCCCAAAGGGGTTCCTGGGGTCACTGACTTTACGAGAAAAAAAAAGGGGAAGATTGAGTTAGAAATAGGGAAAGAGATAAAAGAAATAGTGAGAAACCTGTTAGACTGTTAGATCGTTCTTGTCTTTTTCTTCTTGTTGATGTTCAGAATAGGTGAGGAAACGATTCAAGTTAACTGTAGTATCAAACGGAACGAGGAGTGTTCGATTAGCACAGGAACGAGGATCTGTCGTTCGAGGACTCGCGTCTTCTCGTGCGAAACTACGATTGATCCCGATCACGTCGGATTCCATTCCGTATCCCCAAATCCTTCCTTCAGACCAAACGAGAGTAACCGAGAAAGAGAGAGAGAGAGAGATAAAAAAAAGAAAGAGAGTAGGGGGATTGCAAGTAGGTATAAAAAGATCTTGGCAAACGGTTTCTATGTAAATTCGATGTCTCGCGAGCACGGAATTTGAAAATTCTTAGGGCAGAAAAGTCGTTAGACGAAAAACGTCCCGTTTCAAGATTCACATAATTCGATATATGTAGATACATCAGTAACCATAAATAAACTTTAACATTACCTAACTAACTAAGCTTAATAAAATGAGAACAGTGAGAAAGAATCTTAGTAGTATTCTGTATCTTTTCTAAATTTACGTATACAGTATCTTGCTAGAATAGAATTATCCAGAAAATTATGGTTCACATTACAAAGTGAAAGGAAGACGACTACGACTACGACTACGACTACGACGACTAGTGTGTATACTCGTACTTCGTATACTACACTACCTTTTATACCTTATCCCTAACTATTTTATAAAAGAAAACACACAGTGTAGGCTCTATTAAACCGATGAATCCATTTGCTTAAGTAGTTCTCTCAACTTAATCTTACGTTCAAACTATCCTAACGTCTCTCGAGCAAAGCAGCAGCAGCAGCAACTTGCTACTTCTACCCTACATATATCCCTATATCCCTTTCGTTCCTTCGTCCCTTACATATCTCTCTATTTCTACCTTTCTCTACCTGTTATGCCCTATGTAAATACTTGCCTAATACATTCGTTGTATTATAGTAGGGAAAGTAGCTTGATTAAGACTTCGGTAACCATCTCGCTTTAACGAATATAGCGAAATAGAAATTTTCTTCTACCCTTACCCCACCCAACCCTTTACATACAGTTAATATTCGCGCGGCGAAATCGTATATACATAGTTAGCCAAGTAGGAACTTCGAAATCACCATCACTACCACTACCACTACCACTACCACCCCATCCCATTCCCCATTTTGTTACCCTCTCGCGCGCGCAACTGCCCTCCTATCTCAATTCAAAACCAACCACCACCACCACCACCACCATCACTACCATCATCCTGACTATTCTCGCTAATTGATTATGCGAAAATAAATGATCTCTCGTTGTACAGTGGAATCTATGTAAATTCAATATTCATGGTATAGTTTAATATCTATCTACCTATCCATCCATCCATCCATCTATCCATCGATACATCTATCTATACATCGATGATGAAAAATACAACGCAAGTTAGGTTTTACCTTTTGCATTATGAATACGCATTTACCCTAACGGCGGATACATTTTTAATCTAACCCTCTAACATTAGGGTTGGGGAGGAGGAAGGGTTGGAGGGAGGGAGGGGTGGTTCTCTTTCTCTTTCGAACACGTCGATTATGGGCCGACGACAGCGTAATAACTTTGTGAGTTTCGATATACCTAGGCTAGCTAGCTACCAACCTATCTACCTAACTATCTACCTACTTACCATCCCCCCTCTCTCTCTCTGTCTCTCTCTCTCTCTCTATCTCTTTCTTTCTAACTGGGTTGTGTAGAAAAAGGAGAAGCCTTTAATCCACCTACCAGCCAACTGAAATATACATGAGTTTCGAGAATATATATTCTAACGGAGAGAAGAAAGTAAAAGAGGAACAGAGAGAGCAAGAGAGAGAGGGAGATAGATAACATCTATATATATATATATATATATATATATATATACATATATATATTTTCTAATCATGGTAAATCATAAGCTCGACGAAGTGACGAATTTGAGCTCTA